ACCGCGTTTTAAAATTAAAGAACTCATCTCTCACCACCTGAGTAATTGATTGTGAGAGATCCTAGGGAAACACGATCCTAATCTTCGAACCAAGTAAATTTGATCATATGCTACAACGTCATCAAACTTTGGCACCGTTGTCGGGGAGCTTTGAAACTATCAGAAAGGGAACGAGGTAAGAGTTATATCTGGAGTAATTTTTATTTTGTTTGTACCTATTTTATGTACTCGAGTCTGTGTGTGAAAGTCCAATTCTAGAGTCGAACACACGACTAGAAGAATCTGCGGCATGTGATTCGTTTTCCTTCGTATTTCGGCAACCCGAGCACCTGTTCTTACCCCCTCTATTTTTTTAATTTTTATGATTCCCGTTGTATTCTAGTTTTTGTATTTCTTATTTTATTTTTCATTTTTTATTGATTCTGTGTGTGTATCATCGTTTGAGATTGAAACTATGAACATTGATTCAACAATTTTGGCGAAGTTTCCTGGCATAAACCGGGGCTAGAGAGCCAATTTGGACCAGTGCCTGTCACGTACATATTTTGTCTTGCTTCATGTGTATGAGTCCAACACAAACCAGGGGAAAGACTAGAAATCTTAAACTCAAAAGGCTTGCCCAGGGTAGTGGCTATAGGAGTGGTACTTCCGATTCTTCTCAATCTAAGTCACCACCTCCACATAAGAAGAGATGCTATAAGAGTATGCAACTTACTGCCATCTGCCTTAACCCACTCTTCGACCAGTGTTCAGAATAAAAAAAACAACAAGCTTCTTTCTGAACCTCAAACTCTAGGAGATATGATTGAATGAACTCTTTATGAGTAACGAGCCTCAAGATGCAAACGTTGCTTCCAATATTGTAATATGACTCTGAGTGTTGGCTGAATTGCCAATCACCAAGAACTTTTCGAACGTGAGAGGCGTTGGTCCAAGACTTCGTAGAAGAGTTCTTCCCTTTATGGAGAATTGACAATCTAAGGGACCAAATTGCTCATTTCGACAACTTGCTTCTGAGTAGTTGTACGAAGCATGGGAGCGAATTCAGGAGCTCATTCGCTCTTGCCCTCATCATGGGTTCGGGCAAGAACAGTTAACAAATATCTTTGATAAATGTCTCAACCTAAACACCACTATGATGGTGAATCAGGATGTCGAAGGTGGCGTACGCAAATGACCACTCCTCTAGCTCTTGAGCATTTCACGTCAATAACAGAAGCCAGCCGACTACCCAAGTATATCATTGACCAATGCATCGTATCTTCATGACGCGCATTAGGATGGTAAGGCTCCTCCTAATCCTAATTGGGTAAGAAAATCTAATCCGACACCTACATGATTCGATAGGCGACCTGATCCATTAAATGACCAAAATGAGAACCCTCCTGATCCTCTAGGAGTACAGACTGATGATGAGCTTTGAGCATACATTAGAGGTTAGGAGGCGACCCTCAAGAACTTGGAGTGCCAATTAGCTTCCCTTCTGGAGCTTCAAAACACCCAACAAAATGCAGGATCTCTTCCGAGCAACACGAAAAACAATCTCAAAGAAGAGATCAAGATTCTTTGCGAAAACCAACTTGAACCTCGCAATATTTTTACCAAGACACCGCCAAAATCATATTATGCCAAGCCTCATAGCTCCAATTTCTAGTCATCCAGTACAACACCAAAACTCAAGTCGTCACCGATTTTGGAGTCATACGAACTGCACAAGCATAACCAAAAGTCATCTAGACAGAAAGGTTATACTAAGAGAAATAAGAGATGGACTTTGTTGGTCCAAACCTTAATTAAATTATTATTCAATATTATCGTATATGTAGTAAGAATTTTTTTTTTTTTTTGAAAAAAATTAATATGGTTTTCTAACTTGGCCTTAAAATAATTTTTTAACTTTCATAATCAATGCAGAAGTTCGGTATTTTTTATGCGGGCAATCACATCAACTTAGTAAGAACTCGAAGATAATTTTATTCTTTGCACGTGAATACTTGAAGCTATTATGCATCACAAAGCATAATCTCCAACCAACTAATGCAATTGTCGAATTAGAAATACATAAAGCAGGAATGCAAAAAAAAAAATCTATTCGAATTTGCCATTGATCATATATGGTGCATAGAATGACACAAGTGATGATATTGTGAAGAATATATGACCAAATTCATAATTATAACAATACAAATCATGGTATCCCTAAGTATCGCTTTCTATCATGTCATGTTATGTTGAACAAGCTAACTAGTAACTACACTAGATGGCTTCCGACTAGAGTTGCAAAGCTTTCCAAATTTTGGTTGTTCTAGTTAAGTTCTCTTTTAAATGCGCCATGGTTGCTATTGTTATTGTAGGCAAAGTGTGGACTCAACCTTGATTTCTTTAGACTTGTATTAATCAAGTGAGCTTAATAAAATGCTAACTACTGGGAATGAATCACACTATCAAAACAGACGATTCTCGATAACTTGAACGCTTAACGACTCCAATAGTAGGGAGGAATAAATCAAGTCCTAGAGAAATATATCAACGGACAAAACTGACATTTTCCCTCCATTTGCAAGTGTCGGGTCATCTATTTCTCGGTTCAACCACGATTGGCAATTTTTTCAATGGAAGTTTTAACAGAATGGCATGTTTGATTATTTTTCCAAAGTACGGGGCCAGCTTTGGTGTAAAAAAATAGTAGATGGACAGGTTTGATAAAACTGCATAATAGAGGGGATATTATACCTATAACTCTTAATATTATTAGTAGAAGTCTTGTATCAATCGGTAACAGCTACATGATTAATATAAAACTATATGAATTGCTTCTTTTGCTGGGGAATAGAAGGGAAGAAAGAGTCCCCGCAAAGGACTGCTATTGTTGGGGGACAACAGCAGATTACGACTGGAGAAGAAAAAGCAGTTGAAATCTTCCCTTTGTGCGTCAATTGGGTCCAAGCTTTGGCTGCTTCCATTTTAAAAGTAGGAAAGTGAAACCGCGTTTCCATCCACTTCCAGGCGCCTTTGGGGATTTCGGCTTGTGCAAAGGGAAGAAACTGCGAGCAGATAAGGGATGGTGAGAACTCAAAAGGTCAAAAGCAGCTGCATGAGACAAAACCCAAACACCATTGAAAGGGGGAGAAATAGAAAAATAACACAAAGAGAGCTTTTTGGGATAAGAGAAAACCCAACCCAGTTATGACTTTGCTTTCACATAATCTCAAAGTCAATATGTTTTGGATTTTCTTTAAAAAAAATCACACTTAAGTTTTAGTATTTTGTTTCAGATTGTTGTTGTTGCAATTATTGAGAAGTGGGAGAGGGTAGCCTGTATGAAGTAGAGGAAGACTAGCTAGAAGTCGTTTTGTACTTTTTTTTCAGTTGACTTGTAATTCATAAGATAGGAATACAGGTGTTATGCAGAAATAGCCACAGCAGGTTTGACATTAAACTCATTTCACAAGTATTATTACTCTTTTCTTGAAGTGCAACTATCCCAAATTACTTGAAACCACCACAATTGGATTGATACTAAAGATAAAACTTAGTATCGTAATCAAATAACAAAAGAAGAACAAGCAGCATAATCAAATCGAGAAAACGATTGATCATCTAATCCAATTTGATCATGTACCAATTCAATCTAGAAGTTGTTCTTCCTTTTGGATTCTATTTAAACTCAGATTCTGCACTTCCGTTCTATCCAAAAGTCAATTCAATTCGTGAGAGTGTGGTGGTGAACAATGGCACGGTTTATGTTGTCCCTACTCTTTGTCTGACTTTGTGGAAGAATAGGTTTGCTGAGAGGAAGCCAACCCAGCAGCAGTAGACTTGGCGGTACGAAGCAATAAACATAGACGACCTTAAGATACGGCCGCCGGGTTCCCTAAGAAAGTGTCTCTTTCTGAGTTCTGACCAAATATGCATATATATTTGGAAAAAATCCAAAAGTATCACTGTTTAAAAAAAAAAATCCAAAATATCACCCAACTTAAAAAAATTTCAAAACCCTGCGGTTTACACGAAAACTGCTGGGCGGAGGCGCGGTTTTGCTATGCAAACCGCTGGGCTAAGGGGCGGTTATAAAAACCTAAAAAACTGCTGGGTGGGGCGGCGTTTTTGGGCCAAACCACTACCCCATCCAGCGGTTTGGTCCAATTTTTTTTTCCCGATCAATTCCTAACTTCGACCGAAACTTCAAACGAACGTTACTTTGCACTCGGTTATCCGATCGTAGTGTTTTTTTAATCCGAATAACTTTTCGAGATCTTGCAAGTTGCAAAAGCCGTAGGCGGTGTGGTCCCGCCTTCGTCTCGAAAAAACGTCATTTGCTACCCCGAACGAGCATTTTTTTTTATTTCGTCAAACTTTGGGCGGCCTTAACTTTGTGCTCCAAAATCCGAACGTCATGAAATTTTTTTTTATTCCGCATAACTTTTCAAGATCTACAACTTTTAAGATAATCATAATTTCAAAATGTACATGGATTTGTGAAAAGTAAAGGAAAAGTTCTTCCCAAGGTCCCGTATATCCACAACTAATTCCTGTTTTGAAAATTTCATCCTAGTAAAAGTTGTAGATCTCGAAAAGTTATTCGGATTAAAAAAAATCGCTACGATCCGATACCCGAGTGCAAAGTTACGTTCGTTTGAAGTTTCGGCCGAAGTTAGGAGTTGATCGGAAAAAAAAAATTTTTGGACCAAACCGCTGGGTGGGGTGGCGGTTTGGCCCGAAACCGCCGCCCCACCCAGCAGTTTTTATAGGTTTTTATAACCGCCCCTTAGCCCAACGATTTGCATAGAAAACCGTGCCCCATCCAATGATTTTTTTGTAAATAGCAGGGTGGGGTGGCGGTTTTTAAAAAAGGGTGGTATTTTAAGAACTTTTTGGGGTTAATGGTATTTTTGGAATTCTTTTTTTAAACAATGATATTTCTGGAAAAAGTCCTATATATTTGTATCATGAAATATATGAACTGGGGACGAGTAAAGATGATAAGACATAATAACAATATTATCAACAAAGATTAATTAAAGCTGATTACCAAAGAAAATCAGATTAACATAATACAATCGTTGCCATGTCACAGTCATGGCCATGGCCCCCCTCAATCAACCAAGTCCATCTGCTGTTGTACCAACCTCTTCTTTCGTTTATTTACTATGACTATGAGGGCTGATTTTTTTTAATGGAGAAATAATATAACATAATACAATACAAGGGAGAGATCAGAGACGGGATCAAAAGGAAGTAACTTTCGGAACCAACTTGAGTTTTGATGACGATGACCTTCTCATTTGGCATGATTTACGCTCTGGGTCTATTTGGCCCAGCCAGCCAGCGCTTTGTCGGCAACACAAAGGCAAGGCAAAGGTTGCCTGCCTTACGTTACGCCACAGTACGAGTCTGCGTTTTAAAAAAAAAATGTACATCTATCTGGGTAAAGGAGATGCCTCTTTAACTTGGAAATGCAGACCATTTTTGTATCTCGTACTACAGACTACAGAGCACAGCATGGAATCAAAAGATGGCAATATGGCACCTCTATGTACAGCCAGGAAAGATCGACATACTAAGTGTGTTATCAGTAGAGCATGTACTTAACAGGTAGACAGCCTGTTCAATGCATGGAGGAAATGAAGATGAAACCAGATACCAAGGATTTGAAGCAGTCATCGTGACTGTTACTGCAGAGGTAATTCCGGTCTTCTCGTCTTTCACTTGTTCTGCTCATACCTCTTGGATAGGAGGTCATTGGTACAATCTGCAGTCATGAACAAAGGAGAAAAAGGGAGGAGGGATTGAAGAAATAAGAATACGAAGAACTTTCGGCCAGGAAAGCTCAAACTCTCTAATCAGTTCTAATTGTCCTAACTTGGAGATGAAAATAACAACTTAGATTCTCACTTCTGCATGGGACATATTTGTTTGATATGTTCCTTTATCTAAATGATGAACTACACATCCGCTTCAAGACAGCAACTGAAAGAAGGGAACAGTCAGAGGAAGATGACAAGATTGAAGCGCCAACATACCTTCTAATAACCTGCTAGGCACGAACAAGCATCGAACAGTATGTCCGGTTAGATTGGCCAACCTCACTAGTGCTCCAAATTGGACCAGAAAGTGGGGTCAATGCAAAAGGCAGCCATGCTTCATGTCTGAAAAGCTCAAAAATATATCATGCAGCTACATATATTTCAGCACTTCTTTGCTCCAAGAGGGAAAACCAGTACAAAACTAGCTGTTCCCATCTCAAGCAACTCGGTCTTCCTAGTAATTTCACTATAAATGGCTATAAAATTGTAGCTTTTCCATGAACTCCACCCCGGTGCTGTCTACGAGCTCTCCTCTTCTTTGGATCTTGTTTTAACTTGGCTTTCTCTTTTAAATCCCTCTCTCCTCGTCGTTTGTACATCTTGAATGTCACCTGCCTCTCTGCTGCCATCTGCCTGACCTTCTCTGTGATTTCTGCAGCAAATTGTCTGTTGTACAACTTCCTTAAGCCACGCATTAGTCTAGCAAAAGTATCAGGACGTGGCATGACATCAGCATCCATCATCTCCAGGCAATACGAGCAAGCCTCCTTCACATGCCCACTTGAGAACAGTGCATGTAGCCAAATTGTCCAGGCATCCAGATTGAGATCACAACCTTTAGCCATAATACAGTTCCAAGTATCTTTAGCCAGTTCAAGCTTCCCGTCTCTTAGCAGAGCGTTCAATAAGTCCTTCAAGATGCCATATTGAGGAGCAGATAGCAACCCTCTCCCGACCATTTCTTTGAAATACTCACAAGCCTGCACTAAACCTCCTTCCTGGCCAATGAACCCATTAATCATAATCACATAGGTATCAAACCCTGGGCTAAAGGGACTTGCTTCCAACTCATTCCAGAGCCGAACGCCCTCACTCACCTCACCCAACTTACAAGCAAGTCGGATTGCCACATTATATATACAAAGATCAGGGGTGCAGCCATCATTCTGCATCCGCCCCATCAAATCTATGCACTCTTCCAGCTCATCCTTCCTTTCGTGGGCCAACATAATATGCATGTAAGCCAACTGATTAGGCATCAGGCCTTTCTTTACCATACTGTCCAAAATCTGATACCCCTTCTCAACCTTGCCCCATTTGCAGAAGCCACTGATCAATGTAGTATAAGTTACAATATCTGCCTCACATCCATTTCTTTCCATCTCAACAAACACCCTCATAGCATCCTCCATCTTTTGCAGCTTGGAGAGTGCCTGAATCAAAATTGTATAAGAATTAGCATTTGGTTCACACCCTTTCCTCCTCATCTCCTTCAACAAATCAAATGCATCAACCATTTTGCCTGCCATTGCATACCCGCTCAAAAGATTATTATACACAACAATATCTGGTTCGTACCCAGCTTCTCTTATCTGCACCAAAACATGCTTAGCCTCCATTAACTTCCCTTGTTTGCACCAACCATACAACAAAGCAGTGAAGTGCCTCAAGCTAGGCTCAAACCTCATTCGCATGTCCTCAAACAGCAAGGCAGCTTCCTTAACGTGACCATTTTTACATAACGCATCTAATAAGCAGCCAAATGCATAGTCATCGGGCTCACATCCATACTTGGGCATTTCATCCAACACCTCAATTGCCTTCTTAACCATTCTCGCAGCAGCAAATCTTCTCATCAAAACTACAAACAAATCACTCGTTATCAACATGCTGTTATCATTCCGCATTTCCTCGAGCAAAGCCCAAACAGTTCCAAATTGTCTCATTTTGCTCAAAATTTTCACCATAGCCTTATAGTTCTCATAACTGTGCCTATACCCAGGCTGCTTGGACGCCCACACAAAGAACCGATACCCCAAATTCCCTGCATCGCCACAACGATTCAAAACGCGCTCCGTCAACCCAGCACGTACGGGAACACCCGATTCTTGTAAAGCAAGCTCTAATTTAGGAACTCTTGAATGGAATTTCCTGAGAATTCTATAAACTTTCTCCACATCCCTTGCAAACTCGTCAAAGTTGTTGACTTTATCATCTTGCTCAAGGTGCCCATTCAAACACGCAACACCAAACCGATCTGCGCCATCATCTGAAGTGGAGCTCCCATTGGCTAGGTTATGGAGTTTCTGGCATGGCTGTTTCCACGTGAGACAGAAAGGACCACATTTCAGTTGAGAGGGACGAGGAGCAGAATGTTCCTTAACAAGATTGCATATACGCAAGAAAACTCGCTGCATTTCGCCAATCAGCTGAAGTTGTCTGCAAAAAGATGAAACATTTGGAACCCATCAATCATACGAGATTAGTTAACGAGAGAAAGTTCATGATCATTAGCAAATAACATTCATTTACACACTCATAGCATGCTGCATTATTGTTTGGCAAGCACTTTGATAACCATGAGACAGAGATGTCTGGTCCGCGTCTAATTTTTGGCAGCTGATCTCCTCCAGAAAATAAATTGAGCTTGTAGGAGATCAAATGCGGAAGTTGTATTATCTTACAGTTTAGAAGTCTGAATTCCATACCTCGGGACAGATATACGAGCCGATAAGCTCAATAAACGACTCCAGGTTTAACGCCTCGCCATTATTGCTGAAAATCGCAATCAATCCAGAAGTGAATTGCTGCTCTTCGCAAAATAAACCTCAGTACTTACAGTTAGAAGAACAAATGAAAACACAGACTGCTTTCAAACTAGAACTAGTAAGTAGTACGTAAACTTAATTCAGAGTGAAAAGTTGAGAAACTAAATGGGGAGAAGATTAGAACGGCAAGCGGAAAAAGGTCTTGCCTTAGAGATTCGCAAGGAGGCAGGTACAGCAGCTAGCAGATGAAAAGAGAAGCAGTAGAGGCAGAGGTTCCGAATGGGGATTGGGCGTGGATTTGAAGGGAAGGGAAGGTCTTCAAATTGTTGTTGGTACACTGTGGGGAAGCCTCGACGGTCAGAGGGGCGGCGTGCGGCGGCGATGTAGGAGTAGAGTAGAGACGGAGAGAGTTGTGGGAGTGGGAGTGAAGATCGGCCTACTCAACTCAAGGAAGATTACCTGAATTCTGAGAAACTTCCCCCGCCGGGGTACATTCCCAATATAGTCATTTTTATTTATTTATCACTAATATGTGATTTGCAAATCCGTGTGAGACCGAAGCGGACCCGCTATATATGTATTTTGATGTAAAAAGCGCGGGTCCGCATCGGACTGGCGCGAAGTCGCTGTCTCTGTTTTAAAGTACGCTGACAGATTCCCTTAACATTGACCAGCGGACCCACACCAGTCTCATACGGACTCGCAGCCTTTCCTACCCCACTCATCATATATATCATCGTCCATTTCCTTCCTTTCAGTATCCTCACCAATCCAAAAACTTATACGAAACTAAACGAGAGGGAGGAGTACTGCTGGTTGCTGCAAAAATGGCTAGGTAAGAGACACATTTATTTTTTTTAATTATATTATTAAAATTCTATTATAATTTTCTTTAGTTAGTAATTAGTGAATTTGTTTGTTACGTAGTGATTTTAGGAGATTTGAACTAGTTGTTCGGTGGAAATCGAAGAAAGTAGAGGACAATTTGGGCGTCCATTTCGTTGGTGGTAGATGTCAAGAACCAGTTGAGTTATTGGGATCAACTGGTTCTTGACATAGTATCAGAGCCATCTGTGACCGAGAAGTCTTGTGTTCGATTCCTGGTGACCCCAATTTGTTAAGCACATGGTATTCTTGTCTTCAGACCTGTGCAAACTTCAAGCCCTTCTGAGTGGCTTTCGTTTGAGGGGGCGTGTTAGTGTTGTGGTATATGATCCACGATTGAACATCTACCAACAACTCGAGTTATTGGGATCAACTGGTTCTTGACATGGTATCAGAGCCTCGAACGAAAAGGTCATGTGTTCGAATCTCCACGACCCCCAATATTAATTGTTGTCTTTCAAACACATGGTATGGTGGGCCTATGCAAACTTCAAGCCCATGGGTTGGCTTTCTTTTGAGGGGGCGTGTTAGAGTGTGGTATAAGATCCATAAAATGGTCGTCCCTTGGCGTTCAAAGGGTAGTACGATCAAAGAAGTAATCGTCCCTTCATCGTCCAGCTGGCATTCACGATCCAAGAAATGGTCGTCCCCTCTTCAGGTTCATTAGTGGACACATATCAACCATTCATCGCTTTTCAAACTGGGCATTCACGTTGTTCATGCTCCAGCTTGAGGGGGAGAATAGGAGGTCAACATACGTCGGTCGACTAACTCAGTCATCAGGTCGACCGCGATGTACCAGGTGTGTTCAAGTTCAAGAGACGCAGTCAATCGTCTCAATCATTAGGTTGTTCAGAGAGAGTCGGTCGCTTTACAAACTGGGCATTCACGTTGTTCATGCTCCAGCTTGAGGGGGAGAATAGGAGGTCAACATACGTCGGTCGACTAACTCACTCATCAGGTTGACCGCGATGTACCAGGTGTGTTCAAGTTCAAGAGACGCAGTCAATCGTCTCAATCATTAGGTTGTTCAGAGAGAGTCAGTCGTCTCCAATCAACCTCGTCCAAGATGTTATTCATCTCGAGTTTTGTGGTTCAAGCCATCATGCTTGTTCTTCACATTTACTTCTTCAAGCTCGACATTCTTGTCATTCATGTCTTCGCTTGTGGGGAGTGTTGCGGTTACTTAAACCGTTTTTAGTATTGGGCATTGATGGGCCACGTCTGATTCGTTGGATTAGGGTTTTAACCCTAAGTTTATCTATATAAGCTTAGCTATCGACTATTGGGATCAACTGGTTCTTGACATGGTATCAGAGCCTCGAACCAAAAGGTCATGTGTTCGAATCTCCACGACCCCCAATATTAACCGTTGTCTTTCAAGCACATGGTATGGTGGGCCTGTGCAAACTTCAAGCCCATGAGTTGGCTTTCGTTTGAGGGGGGGTGTTAGAGTGTGGTATAAGATCCATAAAATGGTCGCCCCCTAGCGTTCAAAAGGTAGTACTATCAAAGAAGTAATCGTCCCTTCATCGTCCAGCTGGCATTCACGATCCAAGAAATGGTCGTCCCCTCTTCCGGTTCATTAGTGGACACATATCAACCATTCATCGCTTTTCAAGCTGGGCATTCACGTTGTTCATGCTCCAGCTTGAGGGGTAGAATAGGAGGTCAACATACGTCGGTCGACTAACTCAATCATGAGGTCGACCGCGATGTACCAGGTGTGTTCAAGTTCAAGAGACACAGTCAATCGTCTCCATCATTAGGTTGTTCAGAGAGAGTCAGTCGTCTCCAATCAACCTCGTCCGAGATGTTATTCATCTCGAGTTTTATGGTTCAAGCCATCATGCTTGTTCTTCACACTTACTTCTTCAAGCTCGACATTCTTGTCATTCATGTCTTCGCTTGAGGGGGAGTGTTGCGGTTACTTAAACCGTTTTTAGTTTTGGGCCTTGTTGGGCCACGTCTGATTTGTTGGATTAGGGTTTTAACCCTAAGTTTATCTATATAAACTTAGCTATCGACTTGTGTGATAGCAAGCCGTCAAAATGTAATCCTAATAAGAGATCAGCTGTGAGCTCTTATGAGCTCACCGTGGATTAGTCTTGATCAATCAATCGATTGAGGATACCACGTAAAAACTCTTGTGTTGTGTGCTCGTTTCCTTCCGCATCATCAAATTCTACAGTAGAAAGTTTCAGTTGACAGTTCCATGTCGGGTGACATATCATCAATTTTGTGAGAATCTAATCGCGAGAATACGGCGTAGAGACGAAGCAGTACAAGATAGTGATATGATCACAGGTTTCACTTACCGTCTTCCATAATGGCAGAATGGTGTTCTATATTATTATGTGATGCCTATTGTGGATGATGATGGCTTGAATGTGCTTTTCGATTTGTGGCACAAACCCCTTATTGTTTGGGTGTTGAGATACATGCTGAGATTAGTCAGGCTGATCAGGGTGAAGATGAGACATGGAGTGTGCCATCTGGTCATGATTATGTCGACGAAGACGAGGAGCAGGAGGAGGAGGAAGATGGGGAAGAAGAGGAGCCTAATTATCCTCCATATTTTTACTTACAGGCTAATGAAGAGGACGGCGAATTATCATATGTTGCTTCATATGGCGTAATTCCAATGCTTATTGTTACCGGTTTTGAAGGAGAATTCTACAAGGGGCAGATATTTCACTCGAAACAAGCTGCAGAGGTGGCGGTTAAACACCACTCACAACAACGCAACTTTCAGTATGGCGTGGTGGAGTCGTCAACTTTAATCTGGAAGGTTAGATGCTTGAAGCACAAGGATGACAAATATCCTTGGATGGTGCGGTTTGGATGTCGAGACGTTGGAAGCGAATGGACTGTGAGAAAGGCCGAGTTGGTGCATTCTTGTAGCAGTACGACTCAACCGACGAATCATCGCCATCTTGATGCCGACTTTATATCTTTGTCTGTGAAACATTTTGGTACGTGCCCAACCAAATCTGAGTGTTCTAATTGTGCAGGCCGAGTTGAAAGATAAATTTAATATGCAAGTTACTTATAAGAAAGCTTGGCATGTGAAACAAAGAGCATTGGAGAAGTTGTATGGAAATTGGGAAGAATCCTACGATTATTTAAACATTCTTGGGGGTGGTAAAGAGAAAAATGTCAACATCAGTGATTGATTGGGTAAGAGTTCCTTCATCGCAACCAGGTCATTTGATCTTCCAGTGAGTATTCTGGGCTTATGGACCTTATATAGATGGATTCAAGAATTGTCCAGGAGTCATGGTTGTTGATGGAACATTTCTTACTGGAAAGTATAAAGGAGTGTTACTAATGGCGAGCTCATTTGATGGCCAGAAGAAGATTTTTCCAATTGCATTTGCCATAGTGGAGAGCGAGAATACCGATAGTTGGTCATGGTTCATAAGACACATTCAAGATTTGACCAATTAAGACGATGTCTGCATCATCTTAGATAGACCCACGGGACTCTATGAAGCCATGAGTAACATCGGAAGAGGTTGGGAGTGAAGATGATGCATGAAACACTATGCAAGCAACTTGCAAATAAGAGGGAAAAAAAAAGCAAAATTTGGTACCGTTCTTGGAACCCATCACCATTTGTCTATCAGAATAGCTTCCTACGAGTATTATTCACTTCATAACCACTCTCAAAAAGGTACGTCTCCTCTTCTCCAACGCCTGCATAATCTGCTCCGGGGCAATCAATATCTAGCAAACCTTGGCTTCCGGCGAAGCACCGGAAAAACTACGATCTCAAGGCCTCTGTGCATAAGGTAAAAATTGAAGTCTAGTTCAATTAAACTCTCACATAAGTGCAAAGGGATATCAGCAGAGATTCCCTGGTGGAGGAAAAGTAACTAGAAATACAGGCTTTCAGTATTTCGAAAGCAATCCAAACTAACAGGAGCAGCTCTCAGCCGACGCGCAAAATTATGATTTCATCCAATTCCCTTCATAATCTACAACTAGAACGACCACCCATGAACGATAAAAGCACAAATATCAAACATGCCTAGTTCAGCTCCAAGGTCCAGTTCATCTTGTCTTCTGTAAGACCCATCTGGAGACTGGTAAGCACAGTATAGAGCTTTTGTGAGACGGCACCAACACCCCCACCCCCGTACTTCTTCCTGCACTCAACCAAAACTCATGTCTGTAAGTGTCAATTGTGAAGCTCCAATTGCAACTTCAGCAAGCATAAAGGCTGGAATTAAAATCTTTTGGTGGAACGCTACAAATAAAGAGGTTTTAATCCTTCTCATTCATAAAGGTCGTTTGTTTGGGTGTAATGGATAGGAAATATTAAAAATTCACTCAAGAAAGTGGGTTCCAAATGTCTCTTTCCAGGTTTCTGGCACAATCTTTAAAAATATTAAAGGGGTTTGGAAAACCGACCCCCTCCACGTAAGCCTAAATGGCTTCTCCGCATTTTTCAGTTATCACCATAATTTTTATTATTTAAATATTCCTCAACGGTTTCAAGACCTCTTTTATTCAAAAATTTTACATTTTTCGTTCCTTGACTGCCTCCCCTGAAAAATGAGAATCCTTCTAACATAGGCTTCTTTTTTCGTTTCTTTTGGTTATGTGGTGTGGAGGGATGAGGGAGGGGACATACATTATAGGATAATTGTTTATTATTATTTGTGATAATTATTTTTCTCCAATAATAATTATTTACTCACCCAATAACAATATTTTGGTATCTAAATTATTTCTCATAATATTTTTTTATAGCTACGCAAAACATATCTATAATAATAATAAATTTTTTGAGTTTTTGGTCATCTTCAGGTCAAACTTTTACAAAATTTAGTGTATCCACATAAACAAAAAAATCCTTCCATTCTCCCTACATTTTCTTGCATGACCATCATTTCACTCATTCTCATCATCTGGCAAATTTACCTTAGCGTTATCAACGTATAGAGACTGAATCTAAACTCTCTCGACATTTCTAATATGATACATCATTGGACTTCCCTCTAAATCGACTCAAGATGGACATACCTTCCTTTGGACTAAATTGAAAATTGAGATGCATGCTTTGTTTTCCTTTTTTGGTGTTTCTCGAAAACTATTCACTTGATTTAGAAATTTGTTATTTTAAATGCTAATATAGTCCAATTGTATATATACACAACAAAGAAAAGGGTTACCTGCCCAAAGGGCAGGGTCAAAGCTAGTTTCTAGTATAAATGCACTTATGCAGATAATGATTCTGTAGATGCACTTCACATGATAGCATGCAATCGAAACAATAACATCAATTTGCAAATACATCTAATCAAGCGCACTATTGCTCTTTAGGTAAGAATCATGGCTGCATAAGATCAAATTGTCACAATTTAAACTGACAACTTATGATCTACAGTGCAGCATGCTCCGAAACCTATATACTAAAATTGTCAATTTTATAATCTTGGAACTACATTGAAGTTTCCTCTACACAATAATCAACAGTGTTATCTTTCTAGCATAACTCATACAATAGTGTGAAGATAATGACCAATCAGAAAAAAATACTCTGAATCAAATGAATAAATAATTGAGGAAGAAGAGACTTACGTTTCACCCTTGTAGGTAATGCTTCCAACAGGTGATACAACCACCGCTGTTCCAGTACAGAAGACTTCATCAGCATCCAGTAACTCATCCACAGCTACAAGTCGCTCTTCAACCTGAAATACCAGTGGGTTTTGTGAAGGCAATAACACAAGTGTAAACCAGCCGGAATGGTATTCGTGAAGCACAACAATCCATAAACAAGTAGTTCTGATCACCAGGGCTCCGCCTAGATGTTCATCCCAGCTAAGAAAGTTAATGAAACTATAAAAAATAAAAGTAAACCTAGACATCCTCGACACCAAACCTTGTATCCATAACTCTACAAAACCCCAAGCCGCCTACTTGAAAGGTTAATCATCAAAACAGAAGAGGGGAAAACCCCAGATCCATTGCCAACGTCATCTTAAAGTAATGCACAGCACCCACAAATGCATTATTGGACTACTTTAAACACAGCAATGAAGTAAGTATGCAAACAACCTTATTATACCTGCCAATAACCTCATATGACAATAAAATCTAACATCATTGGTCATGACTGAATATACATACCTGGAACTCTTGGCTTCGAGCAACATCAATTATACTTTTTCGTGTGATGCCAGGAAGGATTGTCCCCTTAATTGCAGGAGTAGATATTGTGTTTCCCTATGAGCAAAGAAAGAAGAAATATGAGGCTCTAGCAGTCTTACTGATCTCTAGGAAACTGCTGAAAACGAAATTCATAACAGGACTTCTCTGCGAGCTAAATGATCTAATTAAGTATATCAAAAGAGTCTATCCAGAAATATAGTCACGACTTGTCGATAAGCAAAAATAGAGATATAAGACCAAAGAACATTTGGTAACAAATACCACATACATTATCCAGTCGAATGTCAAAAAAAAAAAAGTGCAGAAATGCGAAAGCATAAGGAAGCATGATCTAGCAAATAGTACTAAAAAGAAGTCAAGCCTATTGTCCTAAAAAATAAAGGAAGCGCAAGATGACTTGATAGGGCTGAAGAGCTTTGATAATGAGAACAAAGTCACTTTCACCAGCTATAATTGTTGAAAAGAAGGGGACCAACCAAGACCCCCTAAAAAAGCTTTGTTCGATAAAGCAAACGATTTGTTCCGACAACTACGGATCTATTAACTGGACAGACAAAATTGGTCCACAGAAAGTCATAATTTGGGAACATTTTATCTTCACAGGTGGAAACGCTGTGAACCCTTTGACAGACTTATATCCTTCAATTTTCACATGTCAAGGATTTATATTACAAAGTTGACATGCCAAAACGAGAAATCTTGATGAAACCAGCTTGAAGTGCAAAAACAATTACCCAAACCGAATATTTTGAAAAGGGATCATCCACTAGTATGTACATTATAAAACAACAAGAAGGTGTCTCCAAAACATGCTGTCATGAAGCTCAACAGCTAAAATGTCTACTTGAGTTGAATATCCATAACTATACCTTCACAACAAAAATGTTGCATGAGGATACCTCTTCCAGGTACTTCTTATTAACACAATCAAGATACAAGACATCAGAATAACCTTTGGCTTTGGCAGCCGATTGCGCCTTAAGAACCTGAAAGCAATTAGAAGCACTAATTCAATAGACAAAAACCAAACTAAAAATATCACACCACGTTCTTGATACATATAGAAAAGAAAGATACAGGAAATATGGAGGGGGCGGGGACAAAAAACAGGAAATTGAATATACAGGAGCATAAGTCAATAAAATTCTTGTGTATATAACAAACTGGAGAGCAAGAGAAATATGCGAGTAAAATTCAAAGAAGCTATTAGAGTTACTTACAGCAGCATAATTTCCAATGGTCTTCACACCTCCAGTACCACCAGGAGTTGCCCTATGTAACTCATGCTCAACTATCAAATTGATTGGTGCAAGACCTTCCTGCCATTCAAATGTAAGTACTTACATTGTTAAACTACTATACGACACTTATTTCAGATTGTTAAATTACTGAATCACACCTCTAATACCAGAAGATAATTGGACTGGAGTGGAATTAATCTAAAGACAGGGCATAACAGATGCAACAGACAGCTACGAAGCAAATAAGCTGGACCTTGATAGTTAATAACATCTCAATTGCATAAACACAACAGATATGAAAGCTTACGCACTATCAAGGGAAAAAGGACTGGATAAATAAACCAAAAGCCTTTCCACGATCAGCACCAGAGTGTAATATATAAATATAACATGACAAGTCAAAGGTTTCAACCTTAACTTGTACTAAACACTAAGAAGGAACAAGCAAACATACCTTGAAGTAGTTTCCTACAGGTGAAACGTAGATCAAAAAGGTGTATTCAGGTGCAGGTGCAAGACCAAGGACAGCTCCACTTCCCATGAGCAATGGCCGTATGTATAAGGACCCCTTACCAGGAGGGGGTACCTGAGTCAGGAAAGCTACTTTAAGCATTCCAAAATTGTATTGTCAATGACGCATAGAACTAGCAAGAGAAAGCTGGACTTAAGATTTACCCAACGCTTATTTGCCAAAACTGTCGCCTTTACAGCTTCCACAAACTGTTCAACGGTAGGAGCTGGCATGCACATCCTCTCAGCACCCGTTTGCATGCGGGTAGCATTTTCCTCGGGACGAAATAAGAGGATATTTCCATCTTCTTTCATATAAGCCTTCAAACCTTCAAAAAGCCCCTGTGGGAAAACAGATCACACCAACAACAATGTTAGCTGCTGTGCTTAATGAAAATAGTTGGTTTAATGCAACAGTCTACACTGCAATGTGCATTGTGCATAATCAAAGGGGAGAGAAAGAGGTGTCGGATATGCAGTCCATCAATGACACCAAGTATACATGGCAAAGAAGCAAATGCATCTTCTCGAATGATAGGGTCGCCAATTATTAACTTCGACATGCATTTTGAATTGCTAGCACAAATTTGAGACAAAAGATAACTTATTAGCCATAAAGCCCTATCTTTCTTCCTTCGGAGAAGCTTATAGAGTAACTCGATTTTGATTCATCGGATGTTGGAGTACAGATGAAGCTTTTTGGACTCTGAATAGTCATCCCTGAATGCACAGAGAGGACGAAAGGGGGAAACACTTGGACAGGAAGTCCAGTTTAGCTGTTCTTGGTCCCACTAAATTTGTTGAAAACAGAAGCATGGGTCATCCGACTCAATCACACAGCTTTCCCGAGCAGGGAAAAAGCTTCTGCTTGGTAATATTGACTACTGAATGCAAAAATGGGGCAATCCGAAACCAATTTTCAGTTGAGCCAACAAATGCACAAATGCCTAACCTGGCCATAGTTTAGCACTCCAGCAGAAGGGCTCAATTCAATGTTCGCAAAGCGCTGCAGTTCGCCATTAGAAAAGGTCCCGCCTTGGTCACATTTCATCATATACATATAATCAGTCGCTATGTATCCGAACCCCAGATTGTCCCAGTCTATACTAGCCACATCGGCCGGTCCAGTGCTGCATCAACCGAACCAAAAAAACAAGCCCGATATGAACAGATTCTTCCAATCACGAATCAGACTTACTGAGGGGAAAACGAAATCAAGCTAACCTGTAGGTGCCGGAAGCGACGGCATCCCGCTTGAAAGGGGAGACGGAATGCACAGCGGTAAGAGAAGGGAGCTGCTTCTGTAGCCGCTAAGATTGAGAAGAAAGAAAAAAAGACTGAAATCGTCAAGAGACCGAGAAAAAATAACAACAGAAAACGGCAAACGAAAGGGAAATGTCAGTGAAGGAAGAGAAGGACCTTGAGAGACAGAGATGGAGGATTGAAGACACCGAGACTCCTATCAACAGCGAAGGACGATGAGGAGTGGGGAGATGAAGATGAGAAACGGAGAAGGGAGGATGCAGTACGCGACGGAGGGAGAAGGTGATTGGATGGCAGACCTCCAAGCACGGCGGTTCTCTCCATTTTTCTGGTGATCGAATAATCAGCTTTTTTGTGTTTGCTGCTGTGGAGTGTGGAGGGGGCTGGCCGCCGCTGTGGCTCGTCGACCGTTTCTGCTCTTCTGCTGGTTAGTGTGGGTGGCGGGCGGGCGGGCGGGCGGGCGCTAATGGAGAAGACTTAGTAGCTTCGGCAGGTGCAGGACCAATGGTGTGCCGCCGTTTTAAGTTTTAACCTAGTATGTGTATTCACTATTGAGTGAGTATTGACTTTCTTTTTTTTAATTCGTTTTCTACTTTTTAGTGAAATGATAAATATTTTACAATAAAAATAGAATGAGATAATTATTTTTTAAGCGCATTTTAGTTTTTAATTTGGGCTAATTCCATTAGAACCTTCCAACTATAAGAAATTGTCATTTTTATTCTAAAATATTCAATATGACAATGTTCGTCGAACTATTTTTTCGTTAATGTTAACTGACCATTGTTAATTGTTAGTATTTAACAGAAAATCCAGTTAGCATCAATTTGACATTTGACATGAAAATTTTAATCTCAATTTATATTTGTTTTCCATCTCAATTTTTTATTTAGCCGTTATCATTTAGAGAATATTCGGGTTATTTTGTTATTGTGTTTGTTCTAGTTGGAATAACATTAGTAGTAATTATGTTAGTATATAATTAATGTGTCTTCTAAGTTGTAAGGGAAGAAAATGAATTTAAGTAGGAAAGGGAGAGGCAAAAGCCTTGAGTGAGAAAGAAGAGATATTGTGCAACTCTATAAACAGGTGCTTTGTCTATGATTAAGAATATGTGAATTGGAACCCAATTTATGTTTATTGCTCTATTTATTTTATTATTAGTTTTGTGGCTAATTTGAGGTAGTTCGGAGACCAAAGATTCGGTATGTAGAAATCAGTTATGTATGTGCATCTATGTAACATTTAAGGCACTCTTTATAAATCAATTATTTGCAATTGCCTATGATTTTTACCGTTATTTAGAATATTTTAGAAATTAAATTCATTTTAATTTCCTTTCACCTACTCCAATGTAATTTATTTGCAATTGCAACTTGTGAATCCAAGATAAAAAGAAATAACATTATGTGGCTTGCAAGCTATCAAAGAAATTGTATGAGAATATTATGTAAAGATACTACTTGAAAATGTTAGGGCAAAAAATTCACCTCCACGGTCAAAACTAACGACTTTGTGATAATAATAACTACTGTTTAAGAATATACACAAAATAGCCCGATTTTGGATGGTAGTTTGACAAACCTAGTCATTTTCATTTATTACTTTAATGGTTTGGGGAAAGATTTTCTTGGGATCCGAAGGTTTAACCAAGATACCACGGTGATCAGAGAAGTATGGAGCCAAAAACTCAACCACACAATGACGAAGTCTACTTAACCAATCCTCATTAATTAGCTAGCATTCTATCCAACTTCTTAGCAATCGGATTGGTTGTTTGCTGATTAAACCAGGTACAAAATGGTAATGTGGTGTGATGATCTACCACTTCAATCTCCTCTATCCAATCGCAATATGCAACCATACCATATGTAATAGCCACTCCATTAGATGCTTCCATGGGGTTCAATGTAAGAGTCTCTAGTTAAGAGTCTCACCTGAAGCCTTGTTTGCCAAGTCAACCACACTCTGCCAAGCTTATGTGCGCAGAAAAGCTATCTAAAATCCTAGGGATTTTGACTTTCTGATTAGTGAAGAAAGGAGATGAAACGAAGACTGAAGTGGAAGAAAGAGGACCACGAGTCTGTGTTTCTTCTTTCCTTCACAAGACAGCGAGAAGGGCTTCTAAGTGAGCGGGCCCAGAACGAGAACAAAAAGAAGGAAGAAGACTTAGGTCAGTTGGGCTTGCAATTTAAATCCCAACCGAAAGGGAATGTCATTGAACTTTAGAGAGCTTCTTCTTCCCAGAACAGACGAATGAAAGCAGAGCATAAGAAAAAGCAGAGCAGAAGTAGAGAAGAGGAACAGAACTGAAATGAAAATGCACACAGGATTTTTAACGAGGTTCCCCAATCTACGGGTCAGTCCTCGTCTCGGAGATAACACCTGCTAAGCTCCGAGAGACTCTTTTTATTTATTTTTCACCTATGAAAATGAAAACAAATACAAGCAAGAATACAAACTAATTCCCAGATCCAATCCCAGGCCCGATTACAACCTCCACCGATTAGAACCTTTTCCTCTGATGCTGAGCCCCTAAGAATTTCCCAATAGACCTATACTGCTGTTATTCTGAGTGCCTAACCAAGAGAAAGAAGACATTTTATATAGCATCAGAACGTAGCCGTTGAATTCAAAAGGAGGAAAGTGCTCGCCAAGCTTCCATTTCTGAATCCTTCAATTCCTCAACGGTCAGCAGCAATCAATCTTCAAATTCAGCGTTGCTCCTGTCAACAATCTCCCCCTAAGTTGGAGATTGAGATTTGCCGAAGAAAAGTACATGCAAAGCAACTTCAAGCATAGTACCACTAGGACAAAGAGAGCAGAAAAGCAATTCAAATAAAACTGAGGGAAACTTAACCAAAATACACAAATCCCGACACAACAACTTAAAAGAAAAACTCCAAACACATCAAATAACCAGACCGACTGTTAAAGGCATAAACTCTCAAAACAAACCAATCTCCCCCTAAGAAACTAACAACAACCGAAATTAAAAGAGGTCTTCAAGTCCTTCCTCAATAGTCGCGCCAAAGTCGGAGATCGAGCGGTTGCTGGATGCATAATCAGAATCGGATCCATATATTTCTTGAAGAGCAGCTGCAAACGGCTCCAGCACTCCGTCACTTGCATCATTTCCAGGATCAGAGTCGGACTCCAGCACTGCGTCACCAGCATCGTCACTAGGATTAGAGTCGGAATCAGAATCAGAGTCGGACTTCACCACTATGCCACCAACATCGTCACCAGGATCAGAGTCTAAATCAGAATCAGAGTCGGATATACAGACCATGTTGACAGGGGGCTCCTCTTCCCCAATCGCAATCTCCAGTTTGTCAAGTACGTCATCAACAGTGAGCCACAGAGTGGGAGACTCAGTTCGAAACGAGGAGAGAGAGATAGGCAAGGCCAACAGGAGCTGAGTGGTGCGAGCCTCAAAAGGAAGATGAGCAAGATGATTATGATTTACAAAGGGAATGAGTGCTCCAAAAAATAGTTGAGAGTAATCAAGAGGAACAGCAGCAATCGCATGATTCATAATCCAAATATCCAGAGGGGTGATCCGATCAAGCAGGTTCGGACGAGGTAGGAACACTCTAGTGAGGAAGTAATGAAAAACCTGCAGAGTGGGGAGCAGCACAGAAGAAGGGATGGTACCATTTGGTCCTTGAAGGAACCCTGAGAGGTGTTCCGCTTCTTCGTCGAGGTTGAAGTTGAACAGACCAAATTCAGAGACGTCAGCCAGATTTTCTCCAAGCTCAGGAAAGTGGAGAAGGTTACTGATATCTGCTGCAGGGAGAGTCATGAGCAAGGTTCTAAAAGGCGCTAGGCGTAAAGCAGGCGCTCGGCTCCTGACTTGCGCCTTGCCCGATTAGGCGTAGCCTAGGCACGCCTAGGCGTTCAGAGCATAAATGGAAAAATTCTCAAATATTTTCTGTTTTCTGGAATAATTCATATAATCCAAGTGCATATAAAATTAGCAATGCCTAGTTCTTAACAGTAAACACTTAACATAACAAATAACAAGCAAATAGTGACCAATCATCTGCTAATAGGTGCTTATAGAGGCAAGAAGCTTGTGCTACGTACCGAGGAGAAGGAAGGAGCAGCAATTGACGAGTTTCGACTTTATTTCCCACTATAGCAGCGGAGCGGTGTGAAGACGAGAAGAGTGATCGATGACTTTCTCCTGCGGCGACAGAGAGCAACAAATGGGGCGAGAGCTAGGGCAGCAGGCGGCAGCAGATGTTACTTCCCGTGTTTCTGATTTTCTAGGGCAAGAGGCAAGTTTCTGATTTTCTAGGACAAAACGAAGAGTATTAAGTTTAACCACCTAAGCTCGCCCAGGAACGCCCAGCGGCCCAGGCACGCCTTCTCTCCACTAGGCACAAACTTAGTCCTATTCCTACCTACTAAGCGCTACCAGCGCCTTTTACAACGCCTATGGCCAAGTCAAGGCGATCCTCCACCGCCTAGCGCCTAATTGAGCCTAGACGTGCGCCTAGGCGCGCCTTCTTGAACCCTGGTCATGAGATATCCAGCCACGAGCGATGTCAGAGTGCGAGAGTGAAGACCAAAATGGCGCAGGTTGGAGAAGAACAATCGCACTGCAGCAGGACACACCAGAGTGGGTGCATCATCGAGCAAGAATCCCCAACCAAGGTTGTTGACAAGGTGGCGGAAATCAAGGCCGAGGTCAATGAAGTCAGGTAAAGGAATGTCCCGAGAGGGGAAAATTTGGCGAGAGGCAAAGGACCGGGTATGGCGGTGGTAGTTGATGGGGATTGGCTCATGGAAAAGAGTTCCAGAAAAGGTGAGAGCAAAAGCATAAGCCATTGTTGCAGGGAGATGGTAGAGAGTAGAATCTGAAGGGGCGGATGAGGGAAAAGGACATGAGAGGGAGGGTCTTAAAAAGGCTAAACCTAGAGAAACAATAGGAAAGAACACAGAAGAGAAAAAGGCAAGAAAAATCAAACGACACAAACAGCGGGAAGAAAAAAAAAACACAAAGGAAACAAACCAACAATAGAAAGAAAAATAATAGTACAATAGGAAGGAATCGATTTCTCAATTCCGCTTACTCAGATAGAGCGGACAGAGAGCGCAATCCTATGTCAAAACATAGGAAAGTGATATGTCATAACATAGGAAAGTGAATCCATCAGCTGTCAAGGGTTTAGTGAATAAATCAGCGAGCTGAAATTCAGTGCTGATATATTGGATAGTAATGACACCAGATTGAACCAAATCACGAATCAAGTGATACTTAACCTCAATATGCTTGGTTTGAGAATGGTGAACCGGATTTTTCGACATGCAGATGACACTAGTATTGTCACAAAGTAATGGTATAGATGAGCAAGAATGACCATAGTCTGATAACTGGTATGACAGCCAAAGCAATTGGGTGCAAGTACTTCCAGCAGCAATGTATTCTGCCTCAGCAGTAGATAAGGCAACTGCCCCCTGTTTTTTACAGGACCAGGATACTAAGGAAGTACCAACGAACTGACAACTTCCAGTGGTACTACGGTGGTCTGTTAAGCTACCAGCAAAATCAGAGTCGCTATAGCCTACTAAATCGAAGTTGTGATGCTTTGAATACCACTGGATTGTATGTTTGGCCGGCTAGCCGTGAGGTATAAGAGAGACCCTATCATCCCACGATACATGGATTCATCAACCGGAGTACCAGTCTCGTCCTTATCAAGCTTTATTTTAATAGTCATATGTGTGGGAGCAGTGTTTAAGGATTGGAAGTCAAATTTATGAAGCATATTTGAGATGTATTTGGATTGACTAATGAAGGTTCCATGAGCAGTCTGTTTGATTTGGAGACCAAGGAAGAATAGAAGTTCTCCCATCATGCTCATCTCAAACACTTCTTTCATGGCCTCACAAAAGTCTGAGCACATCTTAAGATTGGTAGACCCAAAAACAATGTCGTCGACGTAAATTCGAACTAAAAGAAGATCAGAAGACTCATGTTTAATGAATAAGGTTTTGTCCACGGATCCTTGAGAGAAACCTTGCTCACAGAGAAAGGAAGTAAGACGCTCATACCAAGCACGTGGAGCTTGTTTGAGGCCATACAACGCCTTTCTTAGCTCGTAAACATGGTCCGGAAAGTTGGGATCAGCAAAACCTGGCAGTTGTGAAACATAGACTTCTTCTTGAATCACACCGTTTAAAAACGCACTTTTGACATCCATTTGAAACAAAGGAAAGTTCATGAAACACGCAAAAGCACATAACAAACGTATAGACTCAAGACGGGCAACTGGAGCAAAGTTCTCGTCATAGTCAACCCCATCTTCTTGGGAATACCCTTGGGAAACCAGACGAGCCTTATTTCTGGTGATAAATCCTTCCTCGTCCGATTTATTTTGGAAAACCCATTTAGTACCAATAATAGATTGATTTAACGGGTGAGGAACTAAATCTCAGACATGTAAATACTCAAATTGATTCATTTCCTCATGCATGGAAAGGTTCCAGTATTTGTCTTTTAAAGCATCTTTGTAATTTTTTGGTTCATGCTGAGATACAAAGGCATACTGACCTGGTGTGTACTTACCACTGGTACGCAGTCCGTCGTTCAGCTCACCGATGACTTGATCGACAGGATGTCGTCGCTGAATATGCAGAGGAGCAGCAGAAGCTGAATCAAGAAGAATTGGAGCATTATCGGATCTTGTACCAGGATCCGAGGCCTGAGGTGATGATGGGGCTGCAGTAATGTTGTGACTAGGATTATCATGATGCAGTATTGAACTTCGAGTCATTTCAAGTTGGGTAAACACTGGTATGATGGCATCTGTATCACTCGTAGGTAAATCAGTGTCATGAAATATGACATGGACTGATTCTTCAACCTTTTTGGTGCGTTTATTATAGACTCGATATGCTTGTCCCTTGGTCGAATAACCAAGGAAAATAGCTTTGTCAGAATTAGAGTCAAATTTTCCTAACTTACCTATTGTATTTAGCACATAGTAACAACAACCAAAGGGATGAAAGTAAGATATATTAGTAATCTTGGATTTAAAGATCTCATAGGGAGTTTTATCAAGACCTTTACGAACAAGAACACGATTCAAAACATGACAAGCTGTATTGACAGCTTCTCCCCATAAGGCTTTTGGCAGATTATACTCAAGAGGCATAGTACGAGCACACTCAATGAGAGTTCGATTCTTCCTCTCTACAACCCCATTTTGTTGGGGAGTACGAGGGGCAGAAAAGATATTCAAAATTCCAGCCTCGTTGCAAATGGTTTCAAATTCGTCAGATATGAATTCCCCACCATTATCACTGCGAATGGACTTGAGTTTTCCAGCAAATAAAGCAACAAAGATTTTGAAGCTATGAACAGTGTCATCTTTATGAGCTAAAAAGTAAACCCAGGTATACCTAGGGAAGTCATCAACTAGCACAAAAACATAATTCTTACCCCCTAGGCTGGTGACATTATAAGGACCAAACAAATCCATATGAACAAGTTCAAACATGGCTTTGGGAGTTATGTCAGTTTAGGTTTAAAATTTCTTTTTTTATGTTTACCAAAAATGCAAGCATCACAGAAGAAATCTTGCTTATCCTTCAGAGGGGGGTAGCCCTCGAACAAGATTGGTTTTAGAGATTTAGACGAGCTTTTGAAAGCTAAGATGGCCCATCTTTCTATGCCAAAGGATTTCTTGCTGAGATGAGGCTGTTAAACATAGCTCATGAAAATCATCTAGATTGTGCAAGTCAATAGTGTACATATTGTTTATTCCGTTACCTACGAACAAAAATTGTTTGTCTTGGATACGTTCAACTATGCAGTGTGTGGATTCAAACAGGACTCGATTACCACTTTCGCATAGTTGACTAATAGACAGAAGGTTGTGATGCAGTCCATCTACTAAAAGGACATTGTGAATGGTAGGTAAAGGAGAATGACCTATGGTGCCAAATCCAATGATCTTACCCACTCCATTATCCCATAATAACACATTACCCCCATTTTTAGGGGTTAAATCTGAGAAAAGATGACGTTTGCCTGACATGTGGTGTGAACACCCACTGTGTAGATACCAAACGTGATCACTGTCCAAATTTTGTTTGAGAGTAGGAGATGATACCTGAACTTTACCATTCGTTGGAGTAAAAGCCGTGAATGCCTGCTCATCAAGCGGTTCAGTTTCGAACTCAAGAGTCATAGTCACTCCAAGATGCCTTCATAGCTTTCTCTTTGGCTTTGAGAGTTAATGGACAGTGCACTCTGATGTGGCCGTGCTTCCCACATTTGTAACATGCTTGGGGGTCTTTTCAGGATAACCTGTATCAGGACGTGCATTGCGCGTTGATTTATTTGGGCACTTTTCTCTTGAGCTGCGGACCACGTCTCTTATTCTTCAGCGATCATCGGAATAGGCCCATTTTTGAAGATCATCCATAGTTCTTCGTCAATGCCCCACATGAATTACTTCATCCTCTTTTTCCATGTTGTGTAATTGGCACCAGTAAAGATGGGAGGATGATTAATAGTGGCTTGACCAAACGAAGATGTAACCATGGATCTTTTCCTTGAGAGTGGTAAGCTTCGTCAATTACTAGCTCTGATACCACTTGTGATCAGAAAAGCTATCTGAAATCCTAGAGATTTTGACTTTCTCATTAGTGAAGAAGAAGAGGAAACGAAGACTGAACTGGAAGAAGGAGGACCACGAGTCTGTGTGGATTTTGACTTTCTGATTAGTGAAGAAAGGAGAGTAAACGAAGACTGAAGTGAAGAAAGAGGACCACGAGTATGTGTTTCTTCTTTCTTTCACAAGACAGCGAGAAGGGCTTCTATGTGAGCAGATCCAGAACGAGAACAAAAAGAAGGAAGAAGACTTAGGTCAGTTGGGCCTACAATTTAAATCCCAACCAAAAGGAAATGTCCTTGACCTTTAGAGAGCTTCTTCTTCCCAGAACAGACGAATGAAAGCAGAGCATAAGAGAAAGCAGAGCAGAAGAAGAGAAGAGGAATAGAACTGAAATGAAAATGCGCACAGGATTTTTAACGAGGTTCCCCAATCTACGGGTCAGTCCTCGTATCAGAGATAGCACCTGCTAAGCTCCGAGAGACTCTTTTTTATTTCTTTTTCACCTATGAAAATGAAAACAAATACAAGCTAGAACACAAACTAATTCCCAGATCTAATCCCAGACCCGATTACAACCTCCAGCAATCAGAACATTTTCCTCTGATGCTGAGCCCCTCAAAATTTCCCAATAGACCTATACTGCTATTATTCTGAGTGCCTAACCAAGAGAAAGAAGACAGTTTATATAGGATCAGAAGACATCCGTTGAATTCAAAAGGAGGAAAGTGCTCGCCAAGCTTCCATTTCTGAATCCTTCAATTCCTCAATGGTCAGCGACAATCAATCTTCAAATTCAGCATTGCTCCTGTCAACAGCTTATTATACTAAAAATTTTCACAAAACAAAACTCTGGAATTTGTCTTTTATTTTTTGTGCTTTTTTTCCTGTACCTTTATTTCTGAAAGTGTGAATATCTTTATTCGTAATCTACTAACATACTCAAGCACAAACATGTGCTTCGAGGGGCAATTGAACCCCCTCGTGTTCCACATAAGGATCATCATTTATGCTCAGGGGATGCATTGACCACCCCTTTCTGACTACGAAGTCCCTCTCTACCAGCTCGGATAGAGGGAGCCTACAACTGAATCGTTGGTCCTCTAGCACAAAGAGCAGCAAATGTATTTGAACTAGCTATGGAGGAAGGCTTCTGAGGTGTGACTTTCCTTGGCTTGGTTCCATTAACCACCATACTAAATTCTT